CTAAGTGTCCATCAACAGATGACTGGATAAACATGATGTGGTGTATATATGTACACAATGGAATACTAATCAGTCATAAAAAGGAATGAAATTTTGCCATTTGCAACAACATGGATGGACTTGTAGGGCATTATGCTAAGTGAAGTAAGTCCAACAGAGAAAGACAAATCCTGTATGATATCACTTATATGTGGAATCTAAAAAATACAACAAACTAGTGAATATAACAAAAAAGAAAACAGACTCAGATACAGAAACCAGTGGTTACCACTGGGGAGAGGGAAGGGGGGAGGAGCAACATAAGGGTAGGGGATTAAGAGGTGCAAACTATTATGTATAAAATAAGCTACAAGGATATATTCTACAATACAGGGTATATGGCCAATATTTTAGAACTGTAAACGGAGTATAACCTTGAAAATTTTTGAATCATTATATCCTATGCCTGTTACTTATATAATATTGTATATCAACTACACTTCAATGAAAAAAATTTTTTTAATTTTACACCTGTGGGAATGGAAACCCAGAGTCTTTACTTATACCCTACTTATAAATAGGGCCTCAAGTTGCTTTCAACAGTAGGGCTCATAGAAAGTTTTAAAGCTTGTACTATTTGTAGTATATGGATAGTAAACGAAAACCTTCAGTTTTTTCCACCTGTTTCAGTTGCTGAGATGCAGATCAGAAGTGCTGGTCTTACCAGTGATACTCTAGTACAGGCCAACAGAACATTCCCCTGCTTAAAAATGTGCTTGACAAAAGATTTAGGGATTGAGTACATTTAAGCAAAAATCATTATAAAATAAATGTACTGAATTCCACAATAATAATTACAGCTATTGCCACAGAACCATCCCCCTAACCTAAAACCCCAAAAGTTTGGTGAAGATGGGGCATGCTGGGAACCTGAGTCTCCATCTAGCAACTCAGCTTTACTCTGAAGCATTTCCCAAATTCTGGGACCTCTTCTCTGCAGTCCTCCTCTTTCCTCTTTCATCTCTGACCAGGGAGAATTTTTCCATGATTATGGACCACAAACCTACCTTTCTAAACAGGGCCACTCTGTACTGCACAACTCCAGCGGCTGCTCTCCACAAAGACTAAGACACGAATGGCACTCCCTAGGCAATGAGCCCACTGCTCCAAGAACCGCATCCTTAAGTCCCAATGTTTGTGTCCAACAGTGCTGGGTTGTAATATTATCAGAAGCTACCACTCTCCAAGGCAGCAGTTCTCAAAGAGTGTTATGACAATTGGAAAATGTATTACAAGTAATTTGTCACTAACATGGACATTCTGATTGACTTTTTAGATATTAAAATAGATTCAAGATCATGTCTCCAATAATGTTTACTACTCTCATTCACACCTCAACAGCTTTTTAAAGGGCGATTTAGCCGGTATGCCAGGAGTGAAACATGGGATATGCTATACATTTACCATGCATGTCTTGGCAAGGAAAAAAACAACACGAAAACTTCTGGTCTAAAATATAGTGTGCTGAAAAATTACTTAAAAGCTGAGGCTATGCCCCCAATTTAATTTGAGAAAACCCTTACAGCATTTATTCTAATAAATAGACAGCTATTGGAATTAAACGCTTCAAGTTTTAGGGCTTCCCTGGTGGTGCAGTGGTTGAGAGTCCGCCTGTCGATGCAGGGGACACGGGTTCGTGCCCCGGTCCGGGAGGATCCCACATGCCGCGGAGCAGCTGGGCCTGTGAGCCGTGGCCGCTGAGCCTGCGCGTCCGGAGCCTGTGCTCCGCAACGGGAGAGGCCACAGCAGTGAGAGGCCCGCGTACCGCAAAAAAAAAAAAAAAAAAAAAAAAGCTTGAAGTTTTAAAACGTCTTTGCCATTGACTAGCTCATTTAGCTTCAGTTTTCTCACTTGCAGGTACAGGACTGTTGCCAGCCTCAGTGCTGAGGTTAGAATAATGAAAGCTTTATAGGACCAACTGATGAGAAAGCCTTTGGATATGTCAGTAATTACAGTGCCAACGGTCATTTTGAAGAACCAGGAAATTCAGCTTCTTCATAAAACAGAATAAGACTATAAATGTTCCCTGAACAGGAATAACAGTGTCTGCCATTTGAGATCACCTATGTGCCGGACACTACACCAAGCAGTAGGCTTTTATTCAGTCTTCACAATTCTGTGTGGCAGAAATGAGGACCACCACTTCACATATGAGAAACCAGAGGTCAGAGAGGTTAACCCACCCACGGTGATCTGGTTTACGAGTACGATGGCCTGACTGATATCCAGGCTCTTTCCCCACAACCACCCTGGTTCTGTGACCTGGAAAGACAGGGCACCTCTACAAGCTCTACGCTTGTGCCAGCTTTCAATACAAATGACTTAAAAAGCCTATAGTGTGTGTCTCTTGTGATGGTGACCGTGTTACTGAGAATGCTAAATGGCAGATTATTACCAGTATTCACCGATGGCCAGCACTCGTCTGCTTCTGGATACAGGGGGCTATACTTCTCTACCCTCCTGAAGTTAGGTAACCATCTAACTAATTCTGGCTAATGAAACATGAGGAAGAGAGATGTGTGTCACTTCCAAGGTGGAAGCACATTATTGCAAGTGTTCAATTCTCCAGGCCTCTTCCCTTTCCATAGCAATCATGGAAACCTGTGTTGCTGCAGTGGCGCCTCAAGATCAAAGAAACTTGAGGTATGAAGCCAGCCTGTGGAGGGCAGCTTCCCTAGAAAGTTGTGTAAACCCAGTGAATTTTAGAAGAGAAATAAACCTTTGTTATTATTATTTTTTTTTGCGGTACGCGGGCCTCTCACTGTTGGGGCCTCTCCCGTTGCGGAGCACAGGCTCCGGACGCGCAGGCTCAGCGGCCATGGCTCACGGGCCCAGCCGCTCCGCGGCATGTGGGATCTTCCCGGACCGGGACACAAACCCGTGTCCCCTACATCGGCAGGCGGACTCTCAACCACTGCACCACCAGGGAAGCCCAAACTTTTCTTATTTTAAGCCACACAGCTGGAGATTATTTTTTACTATAGTATAACCCAGCCTATCCTGACTGAAGTAGCTGGTGAAGAGAATTACAAAACAGACATAAGGCAGGCTCTGATCTCCTTCAATATTACATTAAATTTGGCTGAAACATGGCTGAATAAAAATTCAAGGGCTGGACAAAGGGGAAGAGAAACTTGGTGCAATTAAGCTTAAAAAGGTTTTAGAACCACCTGGAACAATCAAAGCACCACTTTTGCCACCTTCAGGGAGCTCAGCACATCGATTAATCCCATAATATGACACAGCTTCCTGGGTAATCAGAACATTTTGATATTTTCAATGAAATAGTATGGTTCAATGAAATAATAGGGGAGCTCTGATCAGCACAGTTAAGTAAAGGGTCAGTTTTGGGGGGTGGACCACTGTCCTATGTCTACTTGATAAAACTAAATAAGCAGGACTGGCTTAATTTAGAAAGCAGATGCTAGGGGCTTCCCTGGTGGCGCAGTGGTTAAGAATCCGCCTGCCAATGCAGGGGACACGGGTTCAAGCCCTGGTCCGGGAAGATCCCACATGCCGCGGAGCAGCTAAGCCCGTGCGCCACAGCTATGGAGGCTGCGCTCTAGAGCCCGCGAACCACAACTACTGAGCCCGTGTGCCACAACTACTGAAGGCCGCACACCTAGAGCCCGTGCTCTGCAACAAGAGAAGCCACCGCAATGAGAAGCCCATGCACCACAATGAAGAATAGCCCCCGCTTGCAGCAACTAGAGAAAAGCCCACGCGCAACGAATACCCAATGCAGCCAAAAAAAAAAAGAAAGCAGATACTAGTACGTTTCAATTTTGATTAGGCCTATTGATATCCACATCAAACCTGAGATATGTTTGAACATGCCATATCATTTATTTAATATTCAATTGAATAGGAAGGCTAAGATTCTCATTTCCTAAGTTATTAGTACCATTATTTAGGTAAAGGTCAGACGAGCATCTTTACTTTCTCCTAAACCTTTAATGTATCACATCCATACAGTATAGAATCTGTAGTAAAGTCAACTGATTTAGGAATAAAAAGCGAACATGTAACTTTCTGAGAACTACAATCCCTGAAGTACTCATTAAAATGGCCAAATTTTATGACAGTGACTAACAACAGGGCACAATTCAAAAGCAAAATCTTTCCGTTAATGTGAAGTAAACTGAGCAACAGAGATGACCCTGGAGTGTCTTAGGGCCAGGGCACACTCTGCAGGTAAGACTCAGCCCAATAAGAACAATTTATAATGTGCTTCTTGATTTAATGTGCTAACAGGTCAGGTTCTCAGAGGCAGGCAGTTCTAAAATTATTTCAGTCAGACTTTATTTTTAGTAACTGTTACCACCTCTCTCAGGCCTCTTTCTGAAGCTTTATATTTTACTGCCTTAAATACTTTATAATAGCTACCAACTAAATCACTATTATTTTCATTTTTTACTTAATGATCCTGCTTCACTGGTACATATACATGAGCATGAACACACACACAAGCACACACAGGACCGGCTTCCAGCTCCCATTTTATGATGCCTTTTTGAAAGCCTGGCTGATAGGCTGTCATAGGGCAATGAAGACAGCTGATGGCTCCATTACAGAAAATGCTTCTGTGTATATGTTTATTTTTACATTGTACAGGAAGTTACAACGTCAAAAAAATAGTATATAAATGAACACAGGTATACGTCACCCAGAACAAAAGAATGAATCTGTACTTAATGAAAAGAATCAGAATTTCTGTAACACAACAAACACCCACATCCTACATTTTTTTGGACAAGTGGCAACTATATACACACACACACACACACACACACACACAGGGTGAGGACCGGTACACCAGTGGTACGAAAACACCTTCTTTGATGCAGTCACTTAGGAATTGTTTAAAAAAAAAAAGTATAATTCAGCATCTGGATGCTAAATAAAAGAGCTGGGGGGGGTCTAAATAAATAGGGGAGTCACTCTACCCCCTTCCCTGTTTCCAACTTTTAGGAATTCAAGTTTATTCAAAAACTGGACATACACAACTCCATAACTACTCTCTTTTCTTCAATAACTTCAGAATGGTAGTTTTAAACAACTTTAAAACTTAAGCTCCTTTTGAATTTCCCAAAGTGTTTTTGCACTCTTCTGCAGATGGGTCTCTTCTTCAGGGGCCAACTTTACTTTTATAAGGTTGGTAATACCACTCCCTCCCAGGATACAAGGAACACTGAGGAATACTTCTTCATTTATTCCATAGAGACCCTTAATTCTGGTGGAAACTGGATGCACTCTCCTAAGATTCTTCACAATACTTTCTGTTAAGTCAGCTACAGACAGGCCAATGGCCCAAGAAGTACAACCTTTCATTTTAATAATCTCATAGGCACTAGCAACCACATCTTTGTGCACATTTTTCCACTGCTCAGGATCTTTATCAGTTCCTATATCTACGTTCAGATCCTTCAGAGGGACACCAGCGATGTTCACCCCACTCCACACAGGAACACTTGAGTCTCCATGCTCTCCAAGGATCCACCCATGACAGCTTTCAGAATGGATACCAAGCCTCTGCCCGATCAAGAAACGGAAACGGGCAGTGTCCAGATTACAACCACTTCCAATAATACGGTTTTGGGGAAATCCACTCAACTTCCAGGCTACGTAAGTTAAGATATCCACTGGATTGGAAACAACAATCAGTTTGCAGCGAGGACTGTACTGAACAATACTGGAAATCATTAACTTAAAGATGGCCAAATTTCGCTGGACTAAATTAAGGCGTGTTTCTCCTTTTTCCTGGCGTGCACCTGCTGTGATAATCACGAGGTTGGAGTTTGCAGTGACAAGGTAATCTTTGCTGGAAATAATATTGGGCATTTTCACAAAAGGGCTGCCATGCTGAAGATCCACTGTCTCACCCTTCAGTCTGCTTCCATCAACATCCACCAAGGCAAGTTCATCACTCAAGCCTTTTAACAGGATGCTGATAGCACAGGCCATGCCAACCGATCCAGTTCCTACAATGGAGATCTTATTGCAACGAACGGGCTCCTCTGAGGGGAAATTCTTCATAAGCTCACACTTGACCGTAGCCATCTTGGACGCGGGGGCGATGGGCCAGGTGCCCCTGTGGGCGATGCCTGCCGGCTGGCAGGGACTCAACACCATTCCCGGGCACAGGCAATTTGCTCTCACAGCGCCCACTCTCTGGCTGGCCCGCTGCATTCCCACAGCCCAGCTCATGGCTACTCACTCGAGAGGTGAAGGAAGAGAGATAGGAAGAAAGCAGCAGGCAGCCTTACAAGCTCAAAAGCAGAGAGCTGTGACCGTTGGCCGTTTGCTCAGCCTGTTACTGCGGCTGCGCAAGGCCGGGACCTTTGGACGGGGCCTGCTACTGCGGCTGCGCAAGGCAAGCCCAGCTCTCGTGGCCTCAAACGGGCCTCCGCAAAGTACTTCAGGTCTGATCTGATTGCGGGGAGGGGGACGACGACGACGACGACGACGACGACGACGACGACGCGGAAGGGCTCCTCTAGCAAATGAATTCTGGAGTTAAAATTTTAAGAACTCGAATTCTCTCCACTACTTAGCATGTATAATGAGACAACCCAGATCCTTGGGATTACTGATGTTCTGTTTTCACTACATATGCCAAGTAAAAACATTTCCATTCAGTACAGATGAAAATAAGGTTAAATTTTCTTAACTGTATCCCTGCCAGGAATAACCAGGTGCGTATCCTTTGTCTCCCAATGGCCTCCTGCACCATTTCCCTGCATCCGTTGGAAAAGTGGGACTCCTGTTTCCCGTTGTATCCAGTTCGAGAACCTTACGCTTGGAAAGGCTTCCGCTGCCTTTATGTCAGTCACGACCGTGACTGCGGAAGTCGTAGGATCCTGACGACAAGGGGCAGGAGCCGACCGTGAGCTAGTCAAACAGTCGCGACAAAGGAAAGCTCCTAATTGAGAGTCCTGATCGAAAACGACTTCTCGAGTAGAAAGATGGTGATGATGTAGCCTGATATCAGCATGAAGATATATCTTCTACGTCCTTAAAATGGCAAATTTTGGCCAACTGCACAAACCAGATTATTGATTAAAGTACTAAAATATTAGCTAGTGCAATATGGCACCAGTGTACCTTACTTTCCTCTGAGTTCTTCTGGTCAGTATTATGAATGTCCTTTCAAATTTCTAAGGAAATAAAAACTTTACATCTGATACATATATGTTTTTTATATATATATATACACACACACACACACATATACACACACCCTTAAACCCAATAAACTATAAAAGTCCAAACAAAAATAACAGTACTTTCTCCTCACTTATATAAACAGAATTCTGACCATGTAATGATTCCTCAAAGCTTTCCTCTCATTCCAAGAAAGCAGTATGTTCTCCCCTAACGGAGCTCTTGGTACATGCCGCCTCCTCACAGGCAGGAAAAAAAATTGTATATGTATATATATGTGTGTGTGTGTGTGTGTGTTGTACACATATATATTCCATTTTAGAATACCAAATCTTGACAAAATGAATATTTTACATTCAGGACTTGAAAAGCTATTCTCATTCTTTCTGCCACTGAGCTGCAGTCCAGGAAGAGAGCAACAGTAAGCAAAGGAGTTGGTGAGAGGTGAGAAAAGTATGGCAACAGTGGAGATCCTGCAATCCTGTTTCAGTGTGACTTGGTGGCACCCTGTTTAGATGGTACAGTACAAGCTCCGTGTCACACAAAATGGTAAGAGCACCACATACATGCGTTCTCTCCACCCCGCTGGTCAGATTTATGGTCACCATTTGTCAAATTAAAAAGGAGAATATTTAAATGATCTTTATTTAATGGTGGCTGACATCTTATTCTTTCTTTTATCCCCGTCATAGCTTGAAATGTTCTAACCTGATGCCTGTTCTCACTTTTTCCTACAATGATTCCTTTGACCAGTCATTTTTCTTATAAGTGTTCTTGAGTATGAAATTCAAGGACATAAAGACTCTTAGTTAGACGGCCTTTTTCTACAGTAATTTTCTTTCTAGAGTTTGAACCTCTTCAGAAATACCATCACTATGACAGCTGCCTCTTCAGTTTTTCCCCTTAGCCACACTAAATCAATTTTGAGAAAAATAACACTCTCCAAAATAAAAATATCTCAAACAAAGCAGCCTTTTATTTACAGTAAGTCTTGAGATAAGAAGGAAAGAACTAAAAAAGATGAACAGATGACAGGTCTACCCAAAGATGTGGAAAGCCAAGTATAGCTAGCCAGCTCCCTAATGACCTTCTGTCTTAGGTGGCTCATTACTCCTTTTGAATGGAAAATCTAATTCAAATTATCTATTCAAAATTCAGTATAATATTATGGCTGATGGCAGGATTATGCCATAATACTTTTGGTTACACCACTTAGGAGGGAGGAATCAGGAAATAAAGATGACTAGCAAGCGTCTGGATCAAGGATGGTTGTAAACTAAGTCACTCTATTCCTTCCACCTGGACTCTCATCCCCAGCTCCCCCTGCCCTTTTTCCATCTAGGAGTCCAGCTCAAATACTCCACGCTCTCCTAAGTCTTCTACAATCTCCCAAGGAGAACTGACTTTTTAAAAATCCACCACCACTGTACTGTGTACCTCTCTCCATTACAGGATTTATCACACACAGTTAAATGTAATTACTTATGAATTTGTCACTCCAAAAGGGATCACCTTTTATTTAACAGCATATCCCTATCCTCCAGAACAGAGCTTGGTATATGAATAGGGATTCAGTAAATGTTTATGGTAGAAAAGAATGAGGAAATAACTACAGAACTGAGCCAAGTAAGGCTAGAGGGCTAAAATGTGAGTGAGATGGAAAGGCAGGGCTGGAGAATCCACCTGGTGCTGGAGTTCTGAATAAAGGGGTAAGTAAAATGGTGCCTGTCTGGGGTTTCTTAGCAAGGTTGATGCATAAATTTCAGATAAAGCTATGAATAAACTAAAAGATTTCTTAATTACTTTCAAAGCTAATGCCCACCTTTACCACCTTACAACATACAAATTAAAAAAAAAATTCTACAGTGCTAGAAACACAGTAAAATAAATATGCAGAGGCAGAAGGAATATTTTTCTCCTTTGAAGTTATTTAAAATGTTTTGTTCTATGGAAAACTTTTAAGAAAATAATCCGTGCACAAAACCCTTGATTTGAAAACACAAACAAACAAGATGCAATGAAAGCAGTGTTAATACTGTAAGCTATAAACTCACCAGCATGCAAGTAGAACATTATATAAACGCAATTATTTTAAAAGTCTTGTGATTTGAAACTCATAAAATGCAAATTGTAGTTTTTTAAAAAAAATCAGTGGGCTGTGATTCTGTTGCTCATAGATACTAAAATCCACCTAACTCCGTAATCCTTGTGTGGGGCATCTTTACAGATCGCAGTACCTCCAAGTATTTTCTTTCGTCAGCAGTACTGGGAACGCTGGGGGCAGGACAAAAGCAGGGCCACAAAGCTTTGTCTACTGAGTAGAATAAAGGTAGAATATGTCCATTCAAAAAGCAACCCTGGCACCAACTTCCTATTTATGGTATTCAAATACTATAACATGAATTGGCAAGCTCTTCTGGTAGGTTACCCAGATCTCACTTTTGTTCTTTAAAGGCATCATCTTACACATAATTTTTAATGCAATGTAAAAAAGCTGCTTGTATGAATCATTAAAAAGGAATTATTTTAATGTGGCACAAAACACGAAAAACAAAGAAATTAATATTCATTAGTATATGTTTAAACATCCTAAATCATATCTAAAAAGTGAGAGTTTAATTTTATGGCTTAGGCTCTGACTGCACTAAGTGCTGTTTTACTAATTCAGCTCATTTATTCTCTGCGATTGGCTTAACAGAAATAATACTCTAGTCCTCAGTAACAGCAGCCTTACCATCAAAAAAAAAGGACACAAAGGATGTTTTTGTGTATGGAAGTTACTTTCAGTTTGAGGTAACCTTAAGTTACCTTTATAAACTCCAAACTGCCAAAACAGATTAACTCCACGTTATAAAGTTTAAAAACTAATTTGCCTCCAGACTCTATCTGGGCAACAAAGAGGGTCAGCAGCATTGGGAATAGTGAAGAAAGAAAGGGGTGTTCCAGGTGGGGGAGCAGCAAGGACAAGGCTCTGAGGCTAGAAAGCACACTGCCTTTCAGCACGGCTAGACCTCTGACCGTGACAGAGGCTTATTAGAGGCACAGCTAGACTCTCAACCGCAGCACTCCTGACATTCTGGACCAGATCATTCTTTGTGGGCCTGTCCCATGCACTGTAGGATGTGCAGCAGCTTCCCTGGCCTCTACCCATTAGATGCCAGTAGCTCTCCTGTAGTTATGACGGCCCAGACAGTACCTCCAGACACTGCCAAATCTCCGTCGTGGGTGGAGGTGGGCGGATGGGACATAGCAAATTTGCCGCACACACCTCCCCCGCCCTGGTCGAGAAGCAATGGGTTAAAGAATAAGCAGGAGCCGATCACACAGGAACTTACAAACGTCTTCAAGGACCCTGGAATGTATTCTCAAGGCAAGAGGGCGCCACTGAAGTGACAGCGGCAGTGTGATCAGATTTCATCCAACAGAGTTCACTAAGTACCTCCTCTGTGCTAGTAGGCATGGTGCAGGTGCTGAGGATACAACAATGAACAAGGTACACTCCACTCTCTTAGAATTTATGTTCTTTTAGCAAAAACAGATTAACATTTTAAAATGGTCAATATAACTTCATTTTGCAACAAGTGTCGTGAAGAAAACAAAACAGGATAACATCAGAGAGGAACTGAGTGGTGGGAATGAAGAGGCTACTGTATTTTAATTAGACGGTCCGGGGAAGTTTCTCTGAGGGGGTGAAGTAAATTTGTGTTGAAACCCTGGATGGCAACACAGAGCCAGCCCTGCAAAGACCCAGGGAAGGAGTTTCCTGGGCAAAGCTAGAAAGGCCCTACGCATAAGGCTGGAGTGCTGAAGGAACAAGAAGGCCCAGGGCCTGGCAGGGCGAGGTGGGCGTGGGATGGGAGAGGTGATGGTGGTGGCTCAAGATGAGGTAAGCGAGGTAGGTGGGGCTACATCCTGTGAGACTTCCTCGACAGGAGATGCTGAAGGGTTTTTAAATAAAGGAGTGACATGATTTGACCTACATTTAAAAAATATCTACGTGGGAAAAAAAATTCTAGGGAAAGTAAAGGAGAGGCCGAGATACTAGACAGGAAACTGTTTCAATACACCAGGCAAAAGATGAATGGAGGTGGAGAGAGACGAAAGAGCCAGGCTCTGTTTAGCAGCTGGGCTAACAAGCAGGTGCTCACAGCTTAGGTGAAGGGAATGACAGGAAATGAGAAAATCTACCATGATTCTCAGCTGGGTTTTTGGCTTGAACGACTGGGGGGATGGGAGTGGCACTCACTGAAATGGGAGAGACTAAGGGAGGAGCAAGTTAGGGAGGAGGAGAGGAAACCACAACTTCTGGCTGGGACGTGGGGCTTTGACATGCCTGTGAGATGAGATGGACCACGTGCGGTTTCAAGGCAAATCTGAAGGTCAGGCTGGAGCTATGTATTTGGACATTATCAGATTGTATAGATTGTTTTTAATGCCAGGGACTAGGCAAGAGCACCAAGGATTGAGGACAGATGGAGAACAGAAGAGTGCAAGTATGAAGCCACTGGACACTCCAACACTTCCAGGTCTGCAGAGAAGGAGCCAGAAAAGGAGATGAACAAAAATGGCCAGTGAGGTGGAAGGGGTAGAAGCCAAGAGAGGGGAGAAGGCTCCCTCGTGTCAAGTGTTGCTGAGAGGTCAAGTAAGAGAAGGATGACGACAAGACCTGGACCTGGCAACAAGGACGGCACTGGCGACCCACACCAGCAGTTTTGGGTGTGCTGGGAAAGAAGCTGGACTGAGGAGAAAAAGGAGAGGAAGTGGAGACAGTGATCACAACCAACTCTTTTCAAGAAACCTCTCCTATGACGGGAAGCAGGCACATGGGCTGGTACCTGGAGGAGGACGAGGAACACCGAGAGAAGACTTTTAGAGGTGGGAGAAACTAGAACACGTCTCCACACACTGCAGCAGAGGGAAAACTGATCACCGTCAAAGGCTGGGGATAATTATGGGAGTGAGGTCCTTGGGTAGATGGGGGTGGGAGGCGGGTGGATGCCCTCATGCGTGTGGGGCTTTGGCTGCAGCATGGATATTCCGCCCATGGTAGAAAGGCAGAGGTGCGGGGAAGAGGAAGGCCAGCGCATCCTTGCGGTAGTGTGGGGAAAGGGCTGTGACAGGGCAAGGTGGCAGGCAGGGAGAAGGGACCTTAGCTGTGATAAGCACCTTGGGGCAGGAAGGTGCCCCAGCTACAGTGGCTGTGAGGGTGGGGGAGGAGCAAGACTTGGTGACTGATCAGATACAGGGGTGAGAGAGAGTGCGGTCATGATAAAGTCCAGCTTTTCAGTCCAGGCAGCATTGCTAGATGATGGATGACACTGCCATTCACGGTGGGTGACCTGGCAGTAGGTTGGGGGGCGAAATGGGGGGGGGGTGTAAATGACAGTTCAAGTGGAAACACACGTAACACCAGTGGGACATCCAAGCATCAGTGTCCAGTCAAACGGGCCCGTGAGCTAGGAGCTCAGGGGTCTGGCTGAAGACGCGGTCCTGGCAGTTGTCTGCATGGGGATGAAGCCACTGGAATGGACAGAACCGTGGAGAAAATACCAGGGCAAAGGAGGAACCTGAAGTCAACAGGATGGTGGGAGGTGAAAAACAAGAGCCAAAGTAGGATCAGGAAGAAGTACAGAAAGAATAAGAACTATGAAAGCCCAGAATCTGTTAGCACAGAAGCAAATAGTAACTGATATAGCTGAGTCATCAAGAAAAAGTGAAATTACGTTCAACACAATCTGCGTTGTGGAAAGATATACAGCACATTAAAAAAAAAGATTTCTTCTTAAAATTGTTAGAAGTATTTCAGTCAGGAAATACCGAAACAAAGCTTAAGGGGAAAGCGTGCGCTATCAGGTCTGCACTCCACAATGCTTTGGTTAGAGATCTGCTTATGTGAGACGTATTTTCTATGCTCAGTAAGAAAACCCAAGTGAAATCAAGGCTACCTTCCCTCCAATGGAGTGAGACGGGGAACATTCTTGAGGTGATTAAGCCTGGTTTGTGTCAGGCCTGCAACAAGAAGGCTTTTATGGCAGAGCTTATCTTTCCTGGTAAGTGTTGCACATTCTTACTTTATAAAATGCTTTATAAGATGCTTGGGGCCCTATTTTACTTGTAAAAGGAAACTGGTAGGTTTTTAAAGAGGAATCTTGGCAATACGCCAAAACGGCTGATTTCCCCCAACCCTTGGCAAAAAAAAAAAAAAAAGGGACAGTACATCAGTCACTACGTCCCATTTTAAACTGAGCGAGTCCCTTTGATTCGGTCTCTCTGTCACCAAATTGCTCCTTGACATTCACACAGAGTACCTCCCACCACCGGGATGCCAAGCCCATTAGAGCTGCAATGGAATGGGAAATAAGGCGTACAGAGATGTTCTTGTCACCTCAGACCTGAATTGTCACCTCAGACCTGAATTGAACTGATGCACAGTGCCACTTCCAATTAACTTAAAAATGATTCCAGGAAAAATATTCCTCAATGCTTAAGCTGTTTGAAGGCCCGAGGGCTTGACAGATGGAGCTATCTCTGCAAGATCATGACGACTGCGTTCTGGGCGGTCTAGGAAGTACCATCAGGAAGAGGAAGCAAGGCGGGGGCTGCTGACATAAGGCAGTCAGAATAAGAAACTGAAGCTTTCTTCCTGGGGGCGGAGCTGGTAGAAATCTTTGGAAGCACTGAAATTAGATTAGGCGAGGACACAGAGGGAAATGTTTCAGCCGTGTTTCAGACTTGCCCTGCAGACCACTCAGAAGTGGCTACCATTAAACAATTTGCCAGGAGACTCGAATTTGTTTTTAATCTTTGACCTAAACCAATGAAAAGTATACAGCATGAAGTTTATTTCCTTCTTAGATATCTTAGAAGTTAAAAACTTTTAAGCTTTTCCATAGTTTTATTTTACATGTGGGGTTCAAGCATTCGCCCTACAATGCTGCTTTCATTTGAAATAAGTAAACACGGTGTAAGAATAAATGTATTTAATGTGAGATACACCAGAATGTTGGTAAAACTGAAATTAGCAAAAAGTAAAAGAAATTTGACTGCAATTAGCAAAAGCCCTCAAGCTGGTCATAAGGTAATTAAGAAGTGAGCCTAAATATTAATATAAAAGTATGCCTAGCAACAGC